TAGAGTTTTAGGTTTTTGTTTTTTTTTATTTAATTAGCCTAGGCAACCTAGACGGAATTTACGTCTAGGTTGCATCCTAGATGAAATTTCCGTCTAAGATGAGTGCAATTTTTTTAAAGTAAAACCGTCTAGTTTGTCAATCTAGACAAAAATTTCCGTCTAGATTGACGCAAATTAGACGGAACAAACTAGATGGAATATTTTCCATCTAGTTTGCCTCGAATTAGACGGAAAAACATTCTGTCTAGTTTGTTCCGTCTAGTTTATTCATTTTTCTACTAGTGATAGATTCTCTACATCTTGATTGTAAATAAAGTCTACACTTGGTTAAATGAGCTAATGCTATTGATTAATCTCAATGTGTCGTACACTTAAATGTTTTTTTAATATTTTAGATAAACAATATCATTCATGGAAGCTACTAGTAAAGAGATTTGATTGATGAGTTGTAGAGGTTCTTTATAATCAATAATGTAGAGGATTACTATAGTAATCTAACGAACAAACTTGATGAGTTGTAGAGGTTCTCTATAACCAATAATGTAGAGGATTACTATAGTAATCTAACGAAAAGTTTGTATTTACTGTCATGGGATCCTCTACATCATATATTATAGAGGATGTCTAGAACTCACCATTAACCTTCCTTCACTCTACTATAAGATCCTTTACACCCTAGATTGTAGAGAATGCCTACAACTCACCAATAGCCTTAATCTACGGACCCTATGTATTATTTAATTAAATAAATTATATAAAACTCTCTTAATTTTGGGCCTCATTATAATAACCAATCTTATTTAGCCATCTATACAATTATAGGCATTCTCTACAATTTAGGATGTATAAGATCTCTTCTCCTTCACTATGAACCCCATGTATTATATTAATTAACTAAATTATATAAAAATATTTTTAGTTGTGAGGCACATCGATCTTATCCATCCACCTAGATAATTATAGGCATTCTCTATATTTAAGATGAAGAGTATATCTTCTCGTCTTTACTTATTTAGAAGGATTTATATGGTGCTGATTTGTTCTTATATTTATCCAAATTGTATTTAAATCTACTCGAAATCTACTTTAAAATAAATCGAATAGGTTAACCGTAAATGCAACAAATATTAAATATAATAAATTCCTATAATTAGCATGTGAATATCACTGAAATGTTATTATGTTTATATAATAAAAAAAAAATACTAAAGTGCTTCCTTTAACTTTAAGGGGATTCATCATTTAACTTTAAGAGGATTCATCATTTGAAGGGAAGTAGACTACTCAATAATTTCACATTTTAATTTTGTTGTAAATTTTAAATGGCCTCCAATCCTTTCCACTATATCAAAAAAATAGTTAAGGAATTACTATTTAATGACAACTATTGATTATCTAGTGAACAATTATTAATTTTTTCTTTGAGTGCAAATTAGGAATGAGTGTGGTACAATGAGATATGGTGAGTATCAGCTAGATTTAGTATGTATCATAATTATATACTAAATAATTAATAATTAAGATTAAAAATAGTGATATTTGAAATAAAATTTGTGTAAACATAGAAGATCGAATGTGACTTGAAGCCCCCCAATTTATTTATTATATACTGAGATTACAAACATCAGCTACACGCAGTCACACACGATGATGTGCTCACACGTTAGTAGCTTCTCCTCTTCTTGATTTTACAGCGGGCTAAAGTACCTCATCTAAATAGTCCTCTGCCTCATCCTGCAGGTACGAGGCTCCATCCCACAGATGGCCGGCAGGAACATCCCCCTCATCATCATCTCCCCGCACCGGCCTCCTCGGCACTCCTCCACCGACCCTTTCCCTTCTTGCTGCATTATCTCCCGCGTCATGCGTCTAACGGCAGGGCACCTGCACTCCTCCTTCACCCTCCTCAGCTGATTGCAGCACTCCTCCGGAGCCCCCTCGCCGTCGTCATCGTCCTCGTCGTCGACCATCATTATCTCGCCTTGGCTCCCGCCGCGTCGGCCCTGCTTCACAAAGGAGCGGCAGTACTTGTCAAGGGGGTGCCGACGCATCTCCCTCGTGCACGTGCTCTCCGAAGCATCCTCTTCGGATGTAAAGGCTGCGGCGGATGCGGCGAGGGCGAGGAGGAGGAAGAGGGTTATTGTGATGGGCTTCATTGTTAATTGTACAGACGATGGGTGAAGAGAGGAGAGGGGTTTGTGGGGGGTATTTGTAGGGAGGGGTGGGGTCTGGATGGAGAGCAGATGGAGCGCATGCAGGGGGTTTGAGGGTACACGTAGGAGAAGGGGGTGGGGGTTAGGGTCTTTGGAGGGTTGTGGAACTGAAAAGAGTTGGACTGGTTTGGGGAGGGCTGGGGCTCGGTGGAGGTTGCTTTTGAGGGGAAGAGGACATGGGAGGTAGCTTGGGTTGCTACGGGGCTTAAAGAATTGGGCTTTTAAAATTAGGCCTTACTTATAAGCTGGCTTTGTGTTACATAGACCTAGCACTTTGTTAAAAGAAATATCCAAAAGCCCGTTCAATGTATTTATTTGGGCCATACCATGTTGTTCCTTTTTGTTGAGAGAAGCACCAATACTTTTACCTTGTGTTGCCAAAAATATTTATATCATTTTATATTATGACGTTAGCATTTTGTTACATTTAATTTACCAACAGATTGTAATATAAAAAGCTCCTGTTAATTTTATGGGTAGTAATATTATAATCACATACATGTGCATTACAGTCTTACAGCCTTCAGTTGCTACTCCCTCTCCCTCTCCCTCTCTCTCTCTCTTGTATTTTTTTTAAAAGCCAAAGGCCCACTCATTTTAGCCTGCGCTAGCATGGACCTCAATCCCTTGCTCCACGTTCCCAATCCCCCACCGCTTACTTTCGGATATTTTTTTTTCAAGCAAAACCGATATATATTTATTTTTAAAAATTTTACGAAACCAATAAACTATAATAAACAATAAAAACGTTAACCAAAAACAACCATGAGCAACCAAATTCAGAATTCCAAAACAAAAGAAACCAAAGAAATTAAAAATGTCACTCACCAATTTCACCGCTTCACTCTCCACGCTCCCTTCCAATCTCAAACCAAGAACAAGGCCAAAACCCAACACGATCATCTCCCGCTCTCTCTCTGACGACAACCCGAACCCTGATCCTAGCCCTAACTCGAACCCAAAGCAGGCGAGTCACCGCCTGAGCCGGTGGTCCAGGGCCCGAACCATCCGGTCCGGACGCCGCCTCGACTGGCCGACCGCCTGAGCCGGTGGTCCAGGGCCCGAACCATCCGGTCCGGACGCCGCCTCGACTGGCCGGCTCTCCGAAACAAAACCAATCAGAGTTCGAACCCTTCATCTCTACCGTCCACGTCGTCGTCGTCGTCTAAGCTGGCCGAGATCTCGCAGTCGAGTTCGGAGGAGGACTCAGAGGAGGAGGATAGCGGAGGGATGACGGCGGAAGGGAAGGCGATTTATATGGTGTCGGATGGGACGGGGTGGACGGCGGAGCATTCCGTCAACGCGGCGTTAGGGCAGTTCGAGTACTGTCTTGTTGACCACGGGTGTCCTGTAAACACCCACGTCTTCTCTGGGGTACGTTCGTCTTTTTCGTTCTCCACCCCTACGAAATATTTCGCGCGTTGTTTTCAGTTTAATATTTGTAGTTTTTGATAAGTCTAGCTTGCTTATAATTCCCCTATGGCGACGTCTAATTTGACGCAGAAATTATGAAACCACGGCATTCAATTCAAACAAGTTTAGACCCATGTGATCTGGTCAGGATTCACCACTTTTTGGCCGTTCTTAGATTCTTGATTGGCCTCTTCAATGAGGAAGAGAGTTCCATTCCCAAATTAAGCAAGCTGGGTCGAGCTAACCAGGGCTTGTTCCCCAAAACTCATAAAATTATACTCTGTTTAAGGCTGAATTGGTGATGCTGGCGAGCTGTTTGATACAACTCCCTAGAGGAACTTGTTTTTTTTTTCCCCCAAGGCAATTCGCGGTAACTTTGAAATGGAATCCAAGTGATATTTTAAGATTTTAGGCGAAAGTTTCCAACTTGGGAGTGTACCAGATTGTTAACATGTTCTTCGCACTGTTGAAGACCTCTGCTGGATTTCTGTCTCTCCGGATGACTTGTCGGTTAAATTCAGTGTGGGTTAAATGAGGTCATGGTTTTGTTTCGCGGTTGAAATTCACTTATTCATGCATATTGGTCTGCTGGTAATATATTATGAAGGTCGGGGAAGTGCTTAATGAGATGCATCTCAAGGAATTTTCTTTTTTCTTGATCATTGATAACTTTGGTCTAGTCTTTGATTGGAGAATTTCACCTGACCTGGAGTTGTTAGGAGAATACAGATGACATTTGGTTAGTGTCATGGTGTTCACTCACTCAAGAGACGGATATTGGCAAAATGATACGACAAGAGTCTTAGCAAAACAAATTCAACCCTTTGACCGACTCCCATGGTCATCTCTTGGCTTTAGGGGAAAGAAAGCCCTAGTCAACTCTCAAGAGTTCTAGACATTCGACTCCTCAGTCGAATTGCAAGACATTGATACATCTTCAGGGTAAATCCAAGGCACAACGATTCCTCAGTCGGATAACAAGCCATTGACTTATCAAGGTAAGCCCAAGGCACAACACATGGTCGAATCCTCTAGTGCAACTCAACCATCATGGCTAATTACAAGACCTTGGTCCTCATCAAGGGATAAACCTAAGGCACAATCACAGAGACATCCGCCCCACCAACTCATCAAACCGACACTCTGGTGTCGACAATAGAGACGATATTGGTCGGCACGAGAGATCCTGACACCCTAGACGAGTCGACATCTTCATATCGACTCGAGAAATGGTTATTAGCTGAGAAGAGATGACATTCCAACCAGTCGAACAGGCCGACACTCCTAAATCGACGCGAAAGATGGTGTCAGTCGACCCTATCATCGAAGACGACCCTACTTAGGGCACTCAACCACTCACTGAGCATTTCTCAGAAACGACGTAAGAGATGCTCCCAGTTGTCGACTAAGCGGAGGACTCGACCCCGACCTCAAACCTCTCCTCTAGGACATATGTCAGCACCTCAGTCCACTTCAAACAAGCCTTATCCAGATTTTAGCTAGATAGGTCTCCATGACTTGTTAGCTCAATCACTTCCCAGAAAATACAGAGACACAATCTCCCATAATGAAGTGACTTTCCCTCCAGTTGCCAGCCGATATTTGTAAGGTAAGGGATGATTTAGCAAGCCAGCATGTTTTCTGCCACGTGCTCAATCACTTCATAGAAAATACGGAGACATCTTCTCCAGAGCTGAAGTGATACCCCCAGTCGCTAGCTGATACCTGTAAAGTGAGGGATGACTCGGCTCTTAGCCCACACTCCAACATCGCTTCTCGAGGTCAGGATAAAGGTAACCTATCTGATCATCGAAAAGACGACTTCTTCCGGACCTCCCCTTTTCCCATTCGGTTTTTACTAACTTGACCATCGGAGGAACCACGGGGGAACCGGTCCCCACCCTCTTGCGGGTTCTTCTTGTCTGTGCAGTGCGGACATCAAGTCCTCGTTCCAAAACTAGACATAAAATCGGAGAAGGGAGCGGGCCCTCCATCATCCTTCATCACCCAGCAACCATCCTCTTCTGGATTATTTGGCTGTTTGATATTGAGCATCAACAGTTTAGCGCCCACCGTGGGGCCACTCTTTTTTTCCGAGAAGACATGTTAAGTTCTGATCAAGGGTCTGATTCTACTCATCCTGAAGAACAATATTGGAGTTGCATCATCCAAACTAAATTAAGCCAGAAGTTACATCATCCAAGTTAAATAAAGTCAGAAATTATATCATTCAAGCTAAGGAGGGTTAGCTGTGGCTAAGAGGAACTAACATAAGTGCAATCCTCGAAAGGCTCAGCAACTTATTCGGGGAGTATTTGCCAAGCACACCATTAGTTAGATGGTACAGCGATCTTCAATCCCCTAGAAAACCCTCCCATCAGAAGACCCACCATAAGGATGGTTGTTTTTCTTGAAAAGTGATCCTGACTTCTAATCGCCATCACAGAATGAATCTGGCCGAAACATAAGATTTGATGAGGCTAAATATCACTGAAGCTCCAACTGTCGATAGTTCATATAAACATAGGAGCAATGATTAAATCTATGATAGGTGCCTGGGATCATGAGGACTCTTTTAAGAAAACTCCCTTATATCAGGGGTGAGATTGCGGGAAAAACTTAGGACCTGTCAGCTGATTGTTCTCAGGAAGAATGATCCCGGCCCTTCAACCGACGTCTTCACCACTAAAGTTACCTAAGCTCTAGTGGTCGAAACATGCGTCCCGCATGATCTCCATAAGAGAGAGTTCTCCATTCATAACATGGTCCAGTCCCCAATGCTCCCGAAGCTCCTTCAAAAAAACCGTCATGGTTTGTCATTTTCAGGGAGCACCATACCGGCTGGTGGATTCTCTTTCCAAGAAAATTTTCCTTACAAAAGGTACCATGTAGCTTCTGGTTGTGCCCTTAACCCTCACGAACCCGACGTGGAATACGCTATTCAACATGATTCATAGCGTCTGGGCTGTTTCTTTTGCTAAAAGTCGGCATGCCAACCATCTGCCTTCAAGGCCTTACTGAAGATTCAGACTCAAAAGGAACCTTAGATGATGAGATAGCAAATAGAGGTTTTGACTCATCTTCGTTCATCAACAAGACATCTGCTATGAAAGCAAGCAAAATCCAACTAAAAAATGTTCTATATTGGCAGCCTCATCCGCTACAAAATTGCCTATGAAGCAAAGCAAGAGCAAGATCACAAGTGGTTCAACCCTTTTTGAGCATCAGATGACTGCAAATGATATTTTTTATGATAATGTAAAATACAGAACTGATAAAATATTATTCAATATAAACTATGATCTCGCAGAGATCAAGGCTTCACTATGACGAAACACCTAGGCGTCATGTAAAACCTAGGCACCCGCCACAAGCCCTTGGTACCTCATCAGGAATAAACCCAAGGTACAGCCCTCGGTCTCTCTGCTTTCGGGGGAAAAAAGCTCTAGTCAACTCTCAAGAGTTCTAGGTATTTGACTCCTCAGTCGAATTGCAAGACCTTGGTATCTTTTCAGGGTAAACTCAAGGCACAACGACTCCTCGGTCGGATAAACAAGTCATTGGCTCTTTATCAAGGTAAGCCCAAGGCACAATATATGATCGATTCCTCCGGTTATCATCGATCATCATGGATAAGCCCTTGGTATCCCATCAGGAATAAACCCAAGGCACAACCCTCTGACCGACTCCCACAGTCGTCTTTCGACCTTAGGGGAAGGAAAGCCCTAGTCAACCCTCAAAAGTTCTAGGCATTCGACTTCTCAGTCGAATTTCAAGCCCTACTCAACTCTCAAGAGTTCAAGGCACAACGACTCTTGAGTCAGATTACAAGCACTTGGCTCTTTATTAAGGTAAGCCCAAGACACAACCATATGGTCGACTCCCATAATCATTACTCGATCATATGGGAATTATGAAGACTTAGGCACCTCCGTAAGACCTAGGCACTCAACGTCAGGGTTGCCATTCTATCAAAAAAGTATTCATAAACCTAAGGTATGAATATTAAGTGTATGACTAATACTTAATTGATCTAAAAACTTAAGCAGTCATCTGTCAAGTTCTGATCAATTAAATACTCAGCCAAAATAAGGTATCAAGTGAATTAGTTATCATAAGTCCCCAGCACGAGTTGACACATTACAACTAACTCACTTCAGTCAATATCTCAGATGAGAACGAAGCTACAAAGCTAAAAGAATATAAGCAATGAAGGCAAGCTCAAGAATGGAGACAAAAATTAATTTTCATTCAATAAGAGTAAACTTCGTTACAAACTTCTCTACAAAAAAGAAAAAAAACATGCAGATCTTCAAAACTCTCGACCAGATTCGCGAGTTAGACTTAGAGGACTCTTGGTGATGGCAATTGTAGAAGATTCCCCAGGGGCCCCAGCATCAGGCTCGACCTCATCGTCATTCGCTGATAAATCCAACCCGCCTCTAATTTTCTCGACATCTTTCAACAAGTCAAGACAACAGGAGACGCAGGAAGGATAAAAGCGATCTGGAATAGGATAAGAGTCACAAGGCACCAAGGAGGCGAAGTAATCAACCCCAGCTTTACATGTTAAGGCTACTTTGGCCTTCCTTATAGGGTCATGACGCCAGTCGTCGACTACCTTCTTTTTATGTTGTTCCGAATCCAGATGAGCGAGTTGGTCCTCCAATTTCTCGACAAGGGCCATGGGTTTGAAGCTTTGATTGTAGCTCTTCAAAGTCCTTCCTCGTTTCTTCGAGAGACAGACGACTTATTCGAGCCTCCGCCTCAGTCGTCATCTTGCGACGCTTCTCGGACTCGGTCTCCGCCTGTAGATGAACCATATCCCTTTTAAAGACCCTCGATGGTCGCCACATGCTTAGAGAATTGGATTCGAAAGCTCTTGGGGAGCTCTTCCTTTTCATCCAGACTCCAGCGCTAAGCGTCTTCTTTGTGAGCTAACTCGACCTCCAAGACAGTGA